CTGTGTATCGGGGATATAAGACAGGGCACTCCATGTGGGGGCCAGCCAAGAGCTAGGAAGCCCAATAGTTTCTGGAAAGAATTAAGGCCCAAATCTGAAGAAAGCAATGAAAGAAGGGTCACTAGTCTTGACCCTTTTAAAAATACTATTTGTATTTCTCTCTTCTATTCTCCCTTAAAGTTGTTTAAAAGTCTTTTTAAAATGTTAACTTGCTTTACCTGTTAAGAAAGGAAAAAAGGAAAGGGATTTTTGTTATTTCCGAGCCAGAGCTGTGCAATGGCCCTAGCAGAATCATCAAAGTGGGAGAACCCCAAAGAAGTGCTAGATTAAAAATCAACAGAGTTAAGGCCACCTGGTCAGATCCTTTTTTAATCGAGGTTCTCCTTCCAGTGATAAAAGTGTACAATGCAGCAGATGAAACTGCATGGTGGAGGTGGGGTGCACAGTATTAAGAACTGTGATTAGCCAGACTGGTGTTTCCAAATTGCCTTCATTATAACAGAACTTAGGTTTCCCACACTTCAGGAATCTAGTTCCAGGCCCTGAAGCTGCACAAGACAACCTGACCTGAAGCTAAAAGAATTTGTATTTACCATCCTCCTACAATCCACTTGTGCCTCCAACCTTCTGCACCTTTCACTAACTCAGGCTAGAGACCCGGTATAACCTATACATCTCCTCGCAAACCTTCTGAAACTTTGCCGGTGGTTCCTGTGCCTCCTGCCTCCTCACGTCTGTGCAGAAACCAAATGATCCCTGTGTAATAAATACAAAGCACCATGCAGCTCTGTGCGGTGGAAGTGGAAAGGGCACTGATAACAGTCAAGAGATCTGGGTTCCATTCTGGGCTCTACCCAGGGGTTTGCTGTGTGTGCTTAAGTCATGGACCTCCATTTACCCATTTGCAAAAATTCCGAGAGGATTGCTTCTCAGGTCGCTGGCAGCTGAGTCTCCGGTGCGCAGCTTGAGCGGGGGGGCCCCAGGCCGCCCTCCCCACAACCTTGAGGTTAGAGGCTTCTTTCAGGTCAGCTTCGCCTGGGATGCCCTGGACCGTAGGGCGTTCCCATGGCCAGTTCGGGCCTTGAGAGCCGATAGCGACCCACACCCACGGGCCGCGGGCGTAGCACCCCCTGGTGGCCGCATCCGGGAATGTAGCCAGCAACCTTGACTACTCATCCCATCCTACCTGCCTTCTCACGCTGTTACCTCACCACAAGCCTCAGGGGTTGCGTCCCAAGGAGGGGGTGACGAGAGACAAAGAGAGGCCAGGCCCGGTTTCTCAGGTCTCCGGCTTCTCTCGAACTGCCTGTATCCCTGAACACAGCCCGCCGCCTCCAGAAGAAACGCACAGGGGTGATCCCCGTGACAACTGAAGGAGAAGAAAGGGGTGCGACGGTAGACGCTCCCTACCTGTGCCCCAGCTCCACGACCGCCCAGACGGCCACTCGACCACGCTCCCGAGCATCAGCTCCAGAGCAAAACAAGCCTTTATAGCGGCATTGGCCGCCAGACTGCGCAGGCGTGCTGCACAAAGACTCCCCAAGGCTGAAGGGAATTGTAGTCCCCCTTCCTGGAGCCGGAGGCTGGACATGCGGCAAAGGACTCTATTTCCCAGAAGCCCCGTAGAAGCCCCGGGGGAGGTGCAGGCTGCTCCTCCTTTTCACCGCGCTTCTAGCTCTGCACCATCCTTCCCAGTACTTCTGGGAGCCTGTCTGGAACCTTCTCTGAGGCCCCCGTGGGTGGCTGGGAAGGTTGACAGTAGCCGTGTGTGGGTCGGCGACCCTGTGTTCGTAGGCTGGGAGGCCCCGATGGTGTACAGCCGTTTATGCAAAACACCAGGAAGGTCACCGTAGCCTGTGTGTCCTTGTCGGCAGCCAGCCCTAAACCTTATCTGTTGTGCACTTACCATTTCATGACTGCTTGCTCAGGAATCCACCCTGCAGTCTGATAATCACCTTTCTCAACTTTTATCCCACTGCCTAACATGTAGTGTGTGTTGCCTGGTTTCTAGATAATAAAATGCCATGATCACAGTTAAAGTAGCGAGAGCGTTAGAAACAGCATGCCAACTCAATCCCTTTCTTTTTATAAATGAAATTGAGGTTCCCAACGAGATCGATTATTTCTCTTTGTGTTTCATCTGTGCCTTCAACATGAACATAACTACTCTCTGTTGAATGCCTGCCTGCTCTGTATTGGTGCTTTACATACAATTCTTGTTTCTTTTAATCTCCATAACAACCCTATGTGTAGGTGATATGATCATTATCCATTTCAGAGATTAAAAGAATGAAGGAAAGAAAAGTGACCTGTCCACCTTTATACAACTTGATAGTGTGAAGACACTAATGTGTCATAAAGCCAAAATAATTAATAATGTTCTTGCACAAGGATGGATCGAGAGACTGAGGCACTATAATAAAGAGCCTAGAAACAGACTCATGTATATGTGTGAACTTGACCTGTGACATAACAAATCAGTAGAGAAATGGAGATTCAATAAACAGTGCTGGTACGAATAGTCTTTAATTTTTAAATTTAAGAGATTACTACTTCATATAACCCAAAGAAAATTTCAGGTAGATCAAAGGCCTAACTGAAAGGGAAAATGTTAAAACATTTAGAAGAAAATGTGAAATATCTTTGTGGACATGGGAGTAGAGAAGCTAAAAAAACAAAGAAGAGAAAAAAATGATAAATTTTTACTATATTAAAATTTAAACTTTTGTACAAGATGCCACAAGTAAAAAAGATAGATAAAGCACAAGTTATAACTGACAATGTTTTTAATATAAAACATACAATTAATTTCTACAACTCAATAAGAAGTGACAATAACCCAACAGGAAAATAGGCAAATGAATGAACAGAAAAGGAAACCAGGACAGCCATTCAAATATGTATGAAAAGACACCCAATCTCACTAATAATCTGGGAAATGGAGATTAAAATAGCAATGAGATACCATTTTATGTCTACCTGATAGGAAAAAGTAAAAACCTCATAACAAGTGTTGTCAAGGATCTGGAATGACAGGATATTTCACACATTGCTGGTAGAATGAGTGTCAATTGATTGAACCGCAATAAGGAACAATTGGCCCAATTTAGTAGATTGGAAATGGGCTGTATTGTTAGACCCCAAGTAGACTCTTAAAATTCAGTGGCTTGAAGTCAGGAAGTTTTTTTCTCCCATACATAAGAGTCATAGGCAAAATATCACATGAGCTGTGAAGTTCTGCTTCTTGCAATTTCAGAGACCCAGAGTGACAGTGGCTCTGTCAGATTCAACATTTGGCTTCCAAAGTTGCTCTACTCATTGCTACCACCAGTTAGTTACTCAGCTGGGAGGAAGGAAAAAGAGAGTATGGAGAAGGTGTGAGCAGTTCTTAAGGCATCAGCCAGGAAGTAGCATACATTATTTTCAGTCACATTCTATTGGTGACAGTTTATTGATATGATCTCATTTAACTGAGAAAACTGGGAAATGCAATCCTCAGTTGGGCAGCTATGAGCAATTTACAACTCTGTTACAATGGAAGAAGAAAAGAACAGATTTTGGTAAAAGTTAATGATTTCTACCACATATGCCTATCCTTGAACCCAGCAATTACACTTCTCTGTATATGCTCTAGACTACCCTTTCTCAGTGGGGGGATTCTGCAAGTAAATTAAGTCCTACACAAAATTATTTGAGTGACTATTTTCTTAATTCCCTCAAGGTTAATACATATAGCTAGTATCATTCTAAATGTCCAGGGGAGAAGTTAATTCATTAAGTACAATGAATACCTTAGGGCATTATGATGTAATGCTATTAGCTGAGAAAAGCTGCCCCCAAAGAGTCTCCCGCACACTTGCACAGGGAGATGTATTGGTTGAGCATTGTCTGTAACAGTGGAAAGAATCTGAATGTCACTAACAAGAGAACAGATAACTAGATTATGGTATTTGTACAATGAGATATTATATAGCAGTTAAAGAAAAAGGACTATTAGGTGTCAATATATATAAATCTCAGAAAACAATGTTGAGTAAAAATAAATTACAAAAAGATTCAAATTATATGACTCCATCTTTATTAATTGTGTAAACTTGTAAAAATATGATGTCGTTTAAGGATACACTGTGTGTTGGGCATGCTAAACAACAATTCGAAATATAGTTACCTCTGCTGTTGGAGGGAGGGGCATAAGATCAGAGAGGGCCACATGCATACAAGGGGCTTCACCTGTTTACAATATTTTATTTCTTTAAAAAATGACTTATTACTGTTAAAATTTAACAAAGCTTGGAGGAGGGTACATGGGTGCTTCTAATATCATTTGCTGTATTTTTGGTAGAGTTTCAGTATTTCATAATAAAAAAGTTTTAAAATCATAGAAATAAACATTTCTCCATTGAGATATATGCAATTTAACAGAAGAATCTTGCAGATTTATATATAGTTTCTACTGACAAGACTTACTGAAGTATCTCTGACCATCTGGTTGAATGACAAAAACTTTTCCTCGGCACTCCTTAAGCCACCTCATCAAGGCACACTAGTACTTCTGACCATGCCTCAAGCACTGTAGCACCCAAGAGCTGCATATCTGATACCTTTATATAAAATAAAAAAGCTTCTAAAATCTCCCTGAAATACTTCAAATATATTGATTTCAGGTTAAAAAGTAAAAGAGTGGATGATAGCTATGCAGCCCTGGTGCCAGGCTCCGATGCACAATGGCACTACTGCAGTCTGTCGGAGGATAACATAGGGCAAAGACTTACGCTTAGCTATTTACATGATATTGATTGAAAAACAATCCCTCCTTGCAATGTGTTTGTGTTGCGAAGGGTGATATTCTCCAGCACTCAGATGAGCTAGCGAATCTGTTGCAATGCAGACTCATATATATTTCAAAATAGTATTTATGTTGTACAACGTACTAAACATATCATTCACTCAATAATTGAAGGAGATACAGTAGAGATGAAACAGACGAGTTTCCTGCCCTCATGTTGCTTAACGTCCCAGATATACCTGTGGTAAGTACTAGACAAAAAAGAAAATATATGTTACATCTGAAGGATAGTACAAGTTAGCAAGGCAGCAGAGATAGCAAAGGAGCAAATACTCTAGGCAAAGGGAACAACCAAGGCCAGGTGGTTGAAGGAAGAGGGGAACATTTCCAAAGGCCTGTAGACTACGTTATAGGTATTTAGAGTAAGAGCATAAGTCAACAATTGCAAGGTTTTAAAAAGTGAGTTGGTTAACGGTTGAGAAATCAAATTTGCATTTTGAAAACTGCACTGCAGCTAGCAGAATTGAGAAAGAATTAGAGGCAGCTTGAATGCAAAAGAAGAGTCTAGCTGGAAGTGTTGTCCAGGGAAGAGTAGATGGGGGCTTGGACTAGGACTTGTGGTGGAAAGAGAGAGAGAAGTAGATAGACTTGGGAGAAATTGAAGAGGTAAAATCAACAGACCTTGTCTATAGATTAGATGCGGTGATGTGAGCGAGAGAGGTGTCAAGGGTAACGACTAGGTTTCTTCCAGTTGCACAACTAGATGGATGGTGGGACATTCATTGACGTGAGAAGTGTTCTACTGCAATAGCCTCCCAACACCCTCCTCTACCCAGCTTGTCAGGAGCTAATGCCAAGTGGTAACAACCATCTTACATGTGCCGTGGCACTCATGTTGAATTCTTCTGCCAGTAATAAAGATAAAATTTCTTTTTTGTAGATCAATCTTGCAATGAAAGTCATTTTCATAGAATAAGACATTTTTAAAAGTCAGTTAATAGATGGAATCATTTATTTGGCATCATGGAAGTAATATAGTGTGACAGAATATTGTACCTTTTTAATGGTCTCAAGCAAATTAGAAGAGGATTTAAGACATAAACAATGCTAAATGAAAGTCAAATGACATCAGAGCATGTTATGCAGATGAAGGTTTCACAATATTTTTAATAGAGAAGAACAGTGGGATTAGCAGACTGTTCATGCAGTACACAGCAGTATAGTCACATTATAAGTCATATCACACATTCATTTTATGAAGGTAAGTATTACACACTTCCTAACTTTGTAGTAATAACTTCCCAAGCTCATTAGCAGTAAGAATAGTAATTAGAATGAAATAAAAAATTGCTTAAAAATTTTTTTTAAAGTACTGTTATATTGAAATGCACTGTCAAATTGGCCCTCCCAAAATAACAGGTGTTCAAAAATTAGTTCCTTGTTAAATAAAGGAAAATAATTGACAACAATTATCTAATTTTAGCAAAATAATATTATCCACCACATTAAACAAGCGTTGTGTTGATTCTGTAGTCTTATATGTACATGATTTATAGATTAATTTTAATTTTATACTGATATAAGAGCTATAAGCATAAGGACTTTATACATGGTTTTATGAATACACATGTTTAAGTAATATTATAATATAAATAATTTAAGTCAACATCGAGGTTTAGGAGAATGATTTTTCTTAAAAGAGTTCCAAACCTTATGCAAGCTTAGGAGACATGGGCATCAAACCAAACCATAGCTTGGTCTATAAGGCCTTCCGTGGTCTGGCCCCACATAATGCTACAGCTTCATTTCCTACCGCTCTCCTACTCAAATCTGAGGTCCTGACAACACTGTAATTTCCATGTTTTCATTCTCGCTATTTCCTCTGCCCAGAAAAACCATCTAAATTTATTCAGCTAAAACAACAAGCATCATAGCCCATAGACAGGCCTTGGGATTTTAATCCTCCCAGAATGACAAGGATTATTTATTCAATTGAGTAAAATGATACAGTATGTCTAATATGTGGTAAGATGTGTCTGGGGGACCCTCTCACATTATTGAGAAGTATGGACCTGTCAGGCCACAATATAGGAGGCAATGAGTTCCCATTAAGAGAAGCCAGAACATGTAGTCCAGCCAAAATGGAGCCTTCTCACTAAAACAGGCTTGAGAAAATTATCAAGTCTTTTGCTTTATAAATATATGCTTTTTATCAGAAGAAGAGATAAACAACTTTGGTCTACATTGGTGATAACCTTTTGGGCATGAGTGCCACTTCAGAAAAATAAAAAAAAAAAAAATCTATGCAGGCCACATTTATTTCTCATTCAAAATAGTTCATTTACTGAGTCCCAGGAAGGAATCATATGTATCCTTAAAACACAAATTATATACTTTATGGATTACAATACCATCCATGAGAAAAATTCCTATCATTTTCAGCTACTGAAATGTTACTTTCTGAGCATATTTAAGTAGTAACAATACCAAAGTATCTTTTTAAACTTTCACCCTAAAATTAGGTCTAAGTGGATGATGACATGTGGCCTACAGCTGGCAGGCCATTGATCTAAAAGAAAAGAAGAAAAAAAAAGGATTCCTCCTTGAGTCAGTTTATATTGCTCAGGGATTCAGAAACAGATTATAATTTATATTCTACTTTTTATTTGCTTGTAGATTCTTAGAGTTCCAGTAAAATTTCAAGTTTTAAAGTATCTATTTTTTTAATTTCTTGATTTATTTATCCATGTGCTGCTTACATTCTATATTCTATCTGTAGCGAGTTTAAGACAAATTTTTCCAGTTTTTTCTTCTAGATTTATTCTAGTTACCTGAAGCAGTATTTCTCCAAATAATCCATGGAGTACTAGTCTTGCAAGCAATTTTGAGAAAAAAGAAGAAGGAGGAGGGTGAGGATGAGGAGGAGGACGAGGAGGAGGAGGACGAGGAGGACGAAGAGGACGAGGAGGACGAGGAGGACGAGGAGGACGAGGAGGACGAGGATGAGGAAGAAGATTCCCAATCTTCTGATTATAGCTTTGCTGCCAGTCAACTGAGTCAAGAAGAAGAAGAAGAAGAAGAAGAAGAAGAAGAAGAAGAAGAAGAAGAAGAAGAAGAAGAAGAAGAAGAAGAAGAAGAAGAAGAAGAAGATTCTGAGAAAAAGAAATTTCCGAAGTCAACTAAGTTTGGGAAATGATGCATATGATATTCAAATGCTTTAGCTAAACACTCTGAGAAATCCTACAAAAATAAAACCAGTTTAGCCTTGTTTCATTCAGCATTTCTCAGACTTATTTGAACTTGAAATAATAAAAATAACATTTTAGAAACAGCATTTAACATCCTGCAGCACTAATGTTCTGCAGAAAATGCTTTAAGATATCCTAGTGATCCAAAGTCATCTTTTAAAAAAAGAAAATTAAAAATCTTCCCCAAAGGGAAGAGATTCTCAAATGATGAAGAGTAATGCTGAGAGGAGTGAGGGATAAACTTTATCAGAATCTAGCTGAGTGAGGCTGAGTAAAGGGCTCATAGGAACTAGGGTTGCTCAGTCAACCCAGACTGTTTAAGTCCGAAAGATTCCATTCATGATGAAGTTACCTGAGCAGTCTTAGGTAAGCCTGGATAACAGTAACAACTACTATTACTGCCATTTTTACTGTTATTTCTGTTTCAATTTATTAATTGCTCAGGATGGGAAAGGCATTATATATACATTATCTCTAACCACATAAAACCCCTGCAAGATAGGTGTTATCCTCTCAGTTTTAGAGATGAAGAAACAGGCTAAAACGTAATATGATTTTAGTGGAAACAGGATTTGGTCTTAGATCTTTCTTACTGCATCATACCGAATCAGTCTGTAAAACTCCTTCACTGAAGCAAATACTCTCCTTTTGTTCTCTAAGCCACTGATTACCTTCTCTGGAACCTTCCCTAACAGAAATAATTCTAGAGTAAAACAAGTTAAGCCATTGATTACTTTGGCCCACTTCACCATATTGCTATGAACCAAATATTTGGACATTCTAAATCATGCTTCTGATAACATAGGTATTAAATGATGTTTTAAAATTATTTCTCAAGGGTCTTTATGAATCACACAAGAAAATCAATCTTAACAGTCAAAAGCAAACTCAAATGCCTACAGAGGCCAAGCGGATAATGTAAATGAGGGCAGCTGGTCAGGAATAAGACAACAGTTGGTGACAGAGACCATGACGATCTAGGGGGAACATGTTCCATCCAAAAGGCTTAACCACTTCTTAGTTTTGGCACGTTGTTGTCAAGCAAAAACATGAGCCCAGTATTGCTTGATCTTATTTTTTAAATGAACCCAGAAACAGTTTTTATGTGAAATTTCTCAATTCTAAAATGTTGACAAATAACTAATCTCTTTAAAAAAAAAAAAAACAAGGCCCAAAACACCATAAACTTGCAGACTGATTGCTTATGACCTCATAAATCAACTTCTACTCAAAGCAATATTACCTCTGCCGCCTCCCCTCAACCCCACTAATCACTCCCTTCATCCAACAGACCTGGGTCTATATTGCTTTTGACACACTCGAAAAAATCAAAAGTTAAGACTTGTCAGTACTGAAGTCATATTTACAAACTTAGAGTCTGAAGATGATTATAAAAAAGAAGACCGCCCATTTTTTTTTTTTTGGAAAGATGGCAAGAGGGTTAAAATAAGTGCATATGCCACTTAAAGGCAGTGGCAGTCAATATGTGCCTTTTCTAGAATGGATTATATGCCAGAGTGACTCTGCAATATGAGGAAGCCATTAGCACTGCTCCAATGACCAAATATTTTTGCTTCCTTGTCTCTAAACTGATTTTCTAGATTACTTTCAGAGACTAGATTTAGGTTCATTTATGTCACAGGGTGGGTAGTCCTTCAAGACATTTCCTTGGCACTCCATTTCAGGAGTGCTTGTTAGAGGGGTGGCTAATGCTACCTGACACCTGTATTATTTATTCAAAGCTAGGGCTCAAGGTGTGGCCTCTGGTCTTTTAAAGTCGACATCATCCCTAAGTCACCGGAGAAGAGCCAAGGAGAGGAGGCTGGAAAGAGGTTGGCTCCATGGGGAGGGATTCCTCCTCTGCCTCATTCTCCACCTGCTGCTTCAAGGTAGGATGGGACAAGAGCAAGAGCAAAGTAGACATAAAATTTCTGGGAAACAGAGAAACCAAGCTAATTCTTGTTATTCCTAGACAGTGAAGGACTGGATGTTCATTTTGGTAAAAATGGAAACTTTTAACACTGACAATGTTATACTTCTTTCTAGGATCCTAACTGTTAGCTGGCTCTTCTCTTTAATTACTCCTCCACTCCCCTGCTTCTGTTGGCCTCTTCTCTTTCCCCACATCTTTCTCTTTCTAAGCATATAATCTATCCCCATGGTTTCTGAGTAACAGGTGATGTTAGAAAGAAGAGAATTCTCTCTTGGCTCTCTTGAAACAAATGAAATGAAACAGGGAAGATGCTAAGAGGAAGGACGTGGATGAGAAGACTCGTCATAAAAGAAGGAACTTTTTCAGTATAACTTTCCCAGTCTAGAATATTTTCCTTGTTCATTATTGAAAATGAGCAATGAGGGATAGTATAACATCATAGGTAGGTAAAAAGCAGATGTTACCACATTGTTCTCTGTTTCTACTCCACAAAGTATGACTAGTAAGGAGTTAATATAAGACTGGTATCAAGGAACTCCTTTAAGATAGTCTCAGTGGTTATGACTATTGAGTTTTAGAAGACAACAATCACAGCACATAGTAGAAACACAATAAACACTACTCGTTAGATTGAAAAACTGGGTTTCTCCCTTAAGGTTCAACATATCTCATACTACCTACCTGATTACTTCCTTTATCACTAATTGATGATCATCTATATCTTATTAATGTAGTGAGGAGGACTGTGACTGCAAAATTTGTCACTGACATCACCCAGATGGCTCAAGGACAGAAGTGAGCAATGGAAGGACACTGAGCAAAGGTGGAAAGGTTTGTGGTGAGACTATTAAGAACATAGCAGGACACTGAGAATCAGTGGTCAGGGCTGAGTTTACATACACATTTGGACAAGTTTTGCATGGAGACAGAAACAATGAAATTAAGGATGGACGCTGACTTAGCTCACTTCATCAACGTCCACCATTTGCCTAAAAGCCCAGCTCATGTCCCCTGGTTAAGAAAGGAGGGGCTCACATGCTCCTCCTGTGTCCCCTATTTTCTCTCTATGCAGCAACACGCCCTAGGCCCCAGTCCTGGCACTTCTCTCACAGTCTCTGCTCTCTACAGGAAGAGGTGATGCTTCCACCTTCAATTGTTCAGGCTTTGACCAGCATGGGGTGGATCCTGCTGCTTTCCAAGCAGTGTTTGACAGAAAGGCCTTCCGTCCAGTCATCAACTTCAGCATCCCTACTCATGTCAACATCTCCTTCACCCTGTCTGCCATCCTGGAGGTGGTAAGTCCTAACCCAACATTGCAATGGTCTCGTGGTAAGCAGTGGGTTTCCTGATTGGATTTTGTAAAATTAATAACTCATTCTATGGAGTAGGGAGACAACAAGGAATGCTACAATGACATCACTGCAGGTAAAATTTGTCCCTTTTTGGATCCTCCACAAGAAACATAATTCCAATGGACTTCCATACTGTGTTTTTCACTTATGTTTCTCGAGTGCTCTGGATTATTTGACCTACATTTTTCAGTGGCTTATGATTAAAAATCATAATTGCCTCACAGAATACAGAACAGCCTTGGAAATGATTAAGAAGTGAGTGGTGGTATTGGACCTGACTTCATAGAATTAATGATCCCGGATGAAAATTGTTTTTCCAGAATGCGCAGCTTCAACTGATGACATCATTCCTGTGGCCAAATATGGTATGATAGACTCAGTTTCCCCTTTATTACGGTACCTCCCTTTTTCTAGTCCTGGGTCTAACTTTGCAGTTACAATAGATAAAGCTGAGAACATCCATGAATTCAACATGTTTAAACAGAGCCAGACCAACAATAAAAACACAAAACTTCCTGACTATTCTGCCAGTTTAGGAGGGCAGAGATGGTGTACAAGGGGAAGTTGGCATAAACCAAGGTCATGGAAGCCAATATTTAAGTGGCTCTATCCCAGGGAACCCAAAGACAAGCTCAAAATCTCCCTTAAGAGCACTGAGAGAGAAGTGGAAGTAAGACTTACTTAGCGACATTGTGACAGCTGTCACCAGAGAAGGGATGGGAGAGTGAAGAAATGAGCAAAAGAAGGCATGTAAAGCATGGGAGAGAGAGTAAGACTAAAACTAGTCCCCACTCTGTTTGTCCCATGCCATGGTTTCCTCTAGATCTAGTACAATCCATTAATCAGATGGAACCCAGAGGAATGTGGGGGCATCAGGCAGCTCAGCATAGCAACGGAGAACCTGTGGCTTCCAGATATCTTCATCAAGGAGTTGTGTGAGTATCAATGATGAAAAAAGCATGAAGAAAACCATATCTCCAGAGAAGAACATGATGTTAACCAATAGGGGCCACACAGAGATTCAATTTAGAAAGGAGCAGCATCTTACAAAAATTCCAGAATGTGGTGATAGGTGGAAGGGGAGAAGTCAGATGAGTGGAGCTGGAACACAGGAATGGAGTCACCTGAGAGGGAAAGAAAGCCAAGGCTAATGGTGAACCCACAGAACCCACCTCCCCATCCTTCTCACAGACAGCACGAATGTGGATCAGAAACCTACAGGTCTCATGGCTTATGTCAACAGTGAAGGGCGCATCAGATACGATAAGTCAGTGCAAGTGATCAGCATCTGTAACCTGGACATCTTCTATTTCCCCTTTGATGAACAGAACTGCACGCTCACCTTTAGCTCTTTCATCCACACAGGTGAATGAGGCTCATATACATAGGCTATTGAGAGGCAGAGAAAGGCTTTTTAGAGAGAAGAGAACAGAAAGCCAGGAACAGTGAGGGAATCTCACCGAAAGGGGTGGAGAAGCCAAGTGGCAAGAAATCCAACAGTCTGGGCAAGGAGTTTGGGAGCATTTGGTGAGGCTGAGTTGTATGGGTCTCTCTGCAGTGGATAACATGGTCCTGGGCATGCAGGAGGAAATGCAGAAGATTTTGAGCACATCACAGAACCTCATTCAGAGCAAGGGGGAGTGGGTGCTTCTAGGGGTCCACCAGAGAAAAATGAAGATGACTGTGAACGCCAACCAGTACGAACAAATCGTTTTCTATGTGAGCTCAGGGGCCCTGGTTGTGATCCTCTCCTAAGAAGCATAGCTTATGTTCCCATTAGAATGTGAGCAGAGATTTTTGTTACTTTTTTTACTAATAAATCTCCAGTACCTAGAACAGTACCTGGCACTTAGTAAATATTGGTGGAATAAATCCGCCCTGAGGAAGAAACAGAGCGTCTATGGCAGTGATTTGCAGTGAGAGTGAGCTTCCCATCCCCTGGGACCATTGGAACTTTTTGGAGGGCTGGAATTTTTATGTTTGTTTTTAAAAAGAGATGGTGGGAAAGTTATGGATCACTGTCATAAAGATATTATGATTCCAAATCCTGGCAACCCCCAAATATCTGCTGCTGTTTTCCTTCCCCTCCCATTTGTCTTAAATTCCACCAGCAAAGAGATTAGACTTTGATGAGGAGAGCAAGTAGAAATACAAAGATATAACGCACACAATAACTTAAGAATCTGGTCCCTCACTCCTGCTAAGAGCACAGCGGTAGGGATAAAAATGACATGGAGAAAGTTGACCCTTTCAAGAAGAAGAAATGAGATATGTTTCCATGGTAAGAAGAAATGATATATGTTTCCGTGGTAAGCAACATGGCAGAATCAAACCCTGGAAGTCAAGCTGTGGTGATTAAGATGATTTGGTTGGAGAGACAAGACTGTGAAAGGGACTTAAAGTAACATGACCTTACTAGATACTTTATTCTGGGGCAAATCTCATCTCTTGCTCTTAGCTGGCTTGGCAGCCTTCCAGCTTACTCCTCACTTGCCCTCTCTTTTCTCCCCAGGTGGCCATCAGGCACAGGCCCAGACTCTATGTCATAAACCTTCTGGTGCCCAGTGGCTTTCTGGTTGCCGTCGATGCCCTCAGCTTCTACCTGCCTGCAAAAAGCAAGACTCATGCCCCATTCAAGACGACCCTTCTGTGGGCTACAATGTCTTCCGGCTCATGACGAATGACTTATTCTCAAAGAGTGGCATCCCCCTCATCAGTAGGGCTCCACCCTCCTTCAGGAGAATAAAAGCAAGGTGGCAGGGGGTGGGGGAGATGGACCAGTAGAACCATTTCAGAGTGAAAAGGGATCCTGAAAGAGGCCCCTGTGGGAAAATAGGAAACAAGAAGTCCTGGGCAGTGCCTCTGGCCCTCACACAGGTCTGCCTTCCCTCTAGGTGTCTACTTTGCCCTGTTTCTGTCACTGATGGTGCTCAGCCTGCTGGAAACCATCTTCATCACCTACCTGCTGCACCTGGCCACCGCTCAGCCCCCACCCATGCCTCAGTAGCTCCATTTCCTGCTTCTACACTGCACCAGCCCAACAAAATGTTGCCCCATTGTGCCCCAGAAGGGAACTAAGGGCCTGTGCCTCACCCCTTTTCACCTCCATGGTAAGGAAGTCAGCTTTGCTCACATTTCCTCTTCTAACAGTTCCACTTCCCTACTCCTCTCTTCCCCAGTGACCTTCGAAGCCCATGGCTAGGTCTCTGACTCTCCTTAGGTCTGAAGGAGCCCTTGGAGTTGGTGGGAAAAGTGCCAGTCCATGAGAGGCAGAGGTAAATGGGTGCCCTGGGCCAACGATGGCTGAGCAGGGAGATGAGGCTCAGAAGCAGCGCTTGGTCAGCCTGTGGGTACAGTTCAGCCACGTGATGGACACCCTGCTCTTCCGTCTCTACCTGCTCTTCATGACCACCTCTATCATCACGGTCATTGCCCTCTGGAACACTTAGGCAGATGCCCGCCTTCAAGCTCCAGCCTGGAGCTTCTCTTGCCTCTGGAAACCAGCCAGACTGTCATGCCCATTCAGATCCCAGCCTCGCAGGTCTGGCAACCACCTTGTTTTCAACCCAGTCCTTCTGCACGGTCAGGCCAGACCTGGATGGTTCCTCACACCCTTCTAGTCCACTCTCCCTGCAGTCCCCTTCTGCAGTTAGGTCCTTGCTCCTCTATGCCATCAACTCCCCTCAGCCTTCCCACAAGTTTTGCCTGCCTGGGCTCCTCAGGATGCAGTTTCCTGGAATACTTCCTTGATTTAATCACCTCCAAAAAACACCTTTGCAGA